ACGATTGTTAAGTTATATTGATTGATTTTGTAGTAGGAGTCGCGTCATGTGTTTGTTTGGAGGGTATACATTATTATATATTCACAATTAACAAACGTAAGAATGATTAGTCGTGATTCGAATAAAATGTGGTTTGAGTTGACACGATGCGCACATGACAAACGCATGTTATTTTTAAAAAGGCGCGCGCGGCGGACATGAGAATTTCCTGCGGGCGCCTCCATAAGCAAAGAAACAACAAACGGTGTGTGATCTTCCGCTTGTAAAGCGTTCATTTAAAACTAAACCTATAGAAGATGATGATGTGGTGAGAAGAAAGTCGGGGAAGACATAGCAATGAATACGGTAGACACGGCCGTACCGATGCCCGCAAAGGTCAACAGGTGACAGTGGCGCCATACGATGAGTGCTGCCGCCCACGGTCTCTTCCGACGTTGTGTGTGACATATGGCTTCTGTTTTTAGAGTAATTTTCAGTTGTTTATTTTTTTTTGCTCTCAGTTTTGTTATTGTTTTCTTTACTTCGCGACCGTGAGTCTACATTTGTACCTCGGAGCATACGTGCATTCTCCGTATGTGTATCTCTATGATTCAATAATACGTCTCGGTACGACAAAATCGTTTTACAAGACGAGAATAATAATTACGATTACAATAATAATATTATCTCCGTCACCGACCGGCTGCTGCTTTTTATGCCCACCGTCGACCGAGACGACCTTCGTGTGTTGTACACATATTTTACCAACGTTTTACGGGTCTCGTCGAATTTTGTTCCCACAATACTCATTTATACACTCTAGACGCGTGAAAAGGCATTCACTTATTATACTACTTGAGCAAAAAAACAAAAAGTAATACTCTCGATAGAATATTTTCACAGTCAAAGAAAAAATACAGGTGTCCACTAAATCATATTTTAATTATTATCATCTTTGTTAAAAAATAATAGAAATTAGATGTACATTCATTGAATTTTACATACATATATTGAGTACTCAAATAGTTGGATTTCATAATTAATTCATTCTTGTGAAATTTTAAACCATCAGATATAGTACCGTCAAATGGGCCAACTTGGGGAAGTTAAATATCTATTATTATTTAAGCCACATCAATCTATAACACTAGTAAATTATTTAATAGTTTTGTTAAGAAATACACAATTTTTTTGTACAAAAATAAGCGATGAAATCTGTTAAATATTTATCTTTCTCAAGTTTAATCACCGCCCAAGTTGGCCTATTTGACGGTATTAGAAATTAAAAAAAAATGTTTCTTGAAGATTTAATAAACTGATTATTGAATACATTTTGGGTTGTCAATTATATATTCAGTTAAGTTTCTCAAAAATATAAAATAATTAAATCTTTTAACATTTTTTNACTGAACTGTTATTCAGTTAAGTTTCTCAAAAATATAAAATAATTAAATCTTTTAACATTTTTTAATTTGTTTGTTTTATTTTTCCATTAGTCAAATAATTATAATATATTATGTCTTATATTTAAAACTAGAGACTAATATATAATTCTCATTCTCTAATATTTGACAATATGAATACTTTTTAAGCCGTCGAACAAAGTAAAAAAATTGTTTTGACGTGTTCTTGTTTATGACAATAAATTTATTGTTTAAACTATTTCATAATGAATGTTTTCACCTGGTAGTAGATTTAGTATAGTGAATAAATATTTACAAAGAACTAATTAGAATCAAAACAGGAATTTTATTTTTGATGATATTCCTAAATATATTTTTTGTTTTGAATATGTCTAAAAATTAAGTTTTAGTAGTTGTGTTTTTATTTACCAATATATAACGTTGATAGTTGTAGTATTATAACTGTAAGTCAATAACAGTCCAATTTTTCAAAATCCTAACGATTATTATAATATCGTATAAAAACTACGCAACTAATATAAGCATATAAAAGTACTCGTAAATGGTGAGAAGTAAATATGAGAATAAAGTGAACAAATTAAAATGGACACAAAAGAATATTGATCAGTCTTCAGAGTCTTGTGTTGTTCTTGCGTGGCGCCACTACTTCGACTCATCGTGTACAACATATATTCGAGTTCTATTTGATTTACAAAAGCGCGCTAAGAATCTATTTTTATTCATTTGTTTGATTTAGCTGGGCAGACGATTTTGAATCATATTAATATGCTTGTCAGCACCACGCTGCTGTTGTGTTGACGACGTTTAGTGCGATCGAGTTTAATAATAATAACAATTATTATTATAATATCTCATCCTAATCTAGAGAGGTAAGAGCTCCTATTGAATTGGTACCTCAATAGACAATTACTAATAGTGGCTTAAAAGAACTGTTGAAGACAAACCGGTATTTTCAATGAAGATTCGTTTGCTCGTGACAAGAGGTTAACACAATCGCATTATTTTATATATTTTCGAAATAGAATGATGATATAATAATTACAATTTACATGTTACCTCCCCACGAAAAAAGAAAAAAAATTTTTAATGTGGTTGATTTTAATTAATTTATAAACTATTATTATTCGTTAAATTTATTCTTTTTCCTCGTCTTAATCCCAACTACTTGGGGTCGGCCAATTCATTAAATTTATTTTATATATTTACCAATGAAATAAAAAGTAAAAAAACAAAATGTTTAAAAGCAACTTGTATTTACCTGACATGCAGCCATTAGGACTAAAAGCTGGATTCTTTTGTAATTGTGAAAATCCTGTAGAAAAAAAAATGAAATTAGTTTTATTAAAATAAGTGGATTAATGATTAAGCTACTTAATTGTAAAGAATTAATATATATTTTATGAAATTTGGTATTGTCTCGACAGTTTCACACATTCGTGTATTGAATTTAAAATACAATAGAGTTCAAACTAATAAGAGGACGATTGCTCTAGATTTTCATAATTGTAAGTGTTAACTTTTTTTTTTTTATGCCTTAATAATTCTTGATAAGTTGATTAACGTTTAATTTTATTATATAGCTAGTAGAGTATGAATGGTAAGTAATTTTTTTTAAATAATATTCACAATACTTTACAGATATTTAATCTTCATTGTAGTGTACCGTTTAAAATGTTTTTTTTTTTTTTTAAAGCAAATTATCGATGATTTTTTTAAGAATTAGTCGTTTATGTTAAAGTGATCGGATTTCAACAAAGAAAAAAATCATAAATCTGATTGACTTATTATGTCGTCTTAAGAGTTTCCCATGATATCTGTCTCAAACAATCGAACCTTATCCTGTACATACAATTCCTTTATAGAGCAAATGCTGTGCAAAATTCTACGACCCCTTATCGAATTACGCTCACGACAGCCCATGTTTTGATTTGCAATGGTCTCCGAAAGTAATTCGACCTGACAGTTATCGTATTACTTCGATATATGTGTACATAAACGCCATTTATATAGATCTATAATATTTTGTACAGTATTTGCGTTCCCTATTATTTAACACAAATCGTTCACCGCGATACATTCAATATCCTATATCCGGAGTGTATATAAATACATATGATGTGTATGTGCATTTGTGTTTGAAACACGTAGGTTTGGTGGTTTTTTAACTTGAGAAAATAGGCGATTTGTTTTCAAAAACCTAAATGGTAGACAAAATACCATTGAAAAGAATCCGAATTCAATACGCTTAGCGGTGGTTTGTATTAATTTAAAGATTTTTTTTTAATTGTATGCCTTTGGAAAACCAAAAACTTGCGTAGACTCTTCAACAACAATACCTATCGACTGTCAATATTCTACCATAGAGTTATTGGGTTTTTTTATTTTGAGACACAATACCCCACTGTTTTCTTAGACGGTTTGATCAATAACTTTCAGTGACGAAATGTCGAGCATTTCATTCCATACATATACACATATAGTTGTCAAAGTATACTTAGATATATAATAATGTATATTTGTACTAATATCAAGTTGTAGAAATTCGTACTTAAACTTTTTTGTTCAGCTAGGCAATTTATTATGTATTTTGTATTGTCAAAATAAATGTGAACTTAACGTTACAATAAGTTACATAAATAATAGGCAGATTGGTCGTTACTTAATGTAAGTATAAAACCCCTATAACTTGGACTCTATTGTATGACTGTAAGTAATGTCCCCAAGCAAATGTTAACATTTTACGTCAGAATACAAGAAAATATGACTGCAACGAAAAGAAGATATTTAATATAAAGAATAATGTTTGTTTTGACACATATTCAATTTAAATTTTATAAATTCATGTGCTAACATAATTTTTATTAAAGTCATTTTGTGCTTATTGGGTAAATCAAAACGAAAATCTTTATATTTAACACATTTTTACTATAAATAAATCTTACATATTACATGTTTGAAAAATCTCCACGAAATTATTCTAAATTTGTATGAAAATTTACTTATACCAGTATTAAAAATATTTGCATGCAAAAAAATTCTTTGTCTTTCTAAATAATTATTTTGTTTTACACTATGCAGTGTAAGTTAATTTTATCATTTTGACATCATATCTTACGAAAATCAGTTCAATAGATTAACTTGGTTTTATTAATAATTTGTTAGTTATATTGACCTATTTTTTTTAACGCAGTACTTGTTTTTTAGTGACATAAATTACATATTTAACTTAAATACTTGGAGTAATTATGTCATTAACAGGTGTTTTTTTTTTTAAATTTATTAAATTATAAAAATTAATTTATGAAATATCTTGTTGAAAGAGTA